GAAAATAGAATCTTTCAAGAATTTTATTGCTCGTTTGCACAGCAATCCATTTACAGTTCTCTCAATCTAAGCTTAACTGTATAACTTTTTGCCAACACACCATAATTTATGATCAAAATAGGGCTTCTTAGGGTGAATTCCAAAATTACCAGAAGCATTGTTTCTTAAAGGCTTTGGACGTAAGCTAAAAAGCAGAGCATACACACATGTCATATGTCCATTAAAATCTTGATTTTTCTTTACGACTGCTATAGCATAGTTATTGAAGTCTGCTGCTGTTTTATGTCCATCCGCGAAAAACAATTGGCGGTTATTATTTTGCTACATTATAGGTGCATTGCCCGTAAATTTTTGTCAAAACAAAGAAAATGATAGACGGCAACCTATATGACCCATAAAATGGTTAAATAAACTGTAAAAATTTTAATAAAATTAAACATGCCATTTACTGGCAAATGAGTTGGCTCAACTATTTTTATACAATAGATGTTTTTTTTCGAGTTAACTCTAAAATTAGGGAGATGAACCAAATTGAATTCCTCAGATAACCAGATCTCGTAAAATTATAATCGCCTGAAACTACCTGTAAAATATTCAAAGAAATGCAAAGCAAGTGATTAATTCAATTTTTGCTTCAAATTTTAGTTCAAGTTCTGCTGTCTAATGCTAAGCCTCAAAGGCAAAATATAAGTCAGATTACTCGATAAAATGCGTTTGTCTGATTTAATGACTAGAAGAGGTTTGAATTGCAGTTTTATTACTTTACGACTCCGATGAAACAGCAGTCAAAATTTAATTTCAATTTCCAAATATTTGAAATAATTTTGCTTCCTTTTTTTAACAAAATGATTAGATTATCATTCGCTTTGTATTTTCTCCCACTTTTCTTACACCTGCGTCATATCCACTTTTTCAATTTCCTCTTATATAAATGCCGTTATCTAAGAGTTCTTGGAATTTTTAATATGCCTTTTTGTAATGATATGTTTCAAAACTGTTAGGATTTATAGAATACGACTGCTCACGTGTGTTATAAAGGAAAGGTATGTGTCAGTCTATCGACGCAGTACTCCTTATAACCCTTTGTACTATTTACAAGTCATTAAAAATCCGCAATATCGGCTAAACCTTACGTATTAGATCTTGTCTGCTTTATAAATCAAGTTTAACTCAGTTCTAAAACTGCAAAAGATATTTTTAAAAGTTGCATGCCATTTAGAGGAGTTGCAATATTGTATAACACCACTAAGGAGTGGTTTAGGCAATTGTTTTGATTACAGTCACTCCAAAATGCATTACGCCTAGGATGACCATCTGTTCCTTAAAATGGTTAATTTTATGTCATCCGTGAATACAATAAATATAGACAGAATCCAATAACATTTAACATGGGTAATGAAGTTTTTTAGTGTCTATAGCAGCTGGAAATGAAGTCTTTGAAGTGGGTGCTCCATGCATAAGCTAACGCCAATTAGCTTAAAACACTGTGATCTGGTTTTGACTTCTTTCATGCTCAATATAGTGTCCCGTTTTGGGGTTGTTGCTGGCTTACTTGTGATGGGGAAAAATTTTCATTCCAATGGTTGACCAAAGAGCATATCAGTCGTTATGCTGAAAGGATCCACATTCGCTCTTCCAATTGTAAGGCACCGCACCACCCTTCATGTAATATGCTTATTTTGCATGCGCGGTGGATTGAAAACATGTATGCTCATTGTAAATTATTCTCATATTGAAGTCTAAGATCCATCTTTTCGATAAAACTCAATGGTATGTACAGATTTTTAAAAACAATCAGGACTAGTAAATGAATTGGGAATATTTTGCATCATATCACTGCAAAACCTACCTGGAAGAAGATTTTTACTTTTGAATGAAAAGCTGCTTTATTCCTTATGTTCTTTCTGTTTTTCCAATTGACTATTGTCATTGTCTAGCATCAGGAAATCCTCCAAAATACAGGCAGCTAAGGAAAAAAATTGAGACAGAAGCAGGGTTAAGACGGCTGCTGGTAATAAAACTCCAAAGTACATGCCTTATTAAGAAGGTTCTCAAATTGAAATAGTGACTGTTTCAATGGCTATATTTAAGAAGCATTCTACAAATCAGCGCAAACTTATTTACCGTATTATTTCAAAAGGGTATTTTTTTGAAACAACTTTGCTTAGAAAAGTTTTTACGCGTAAACAATTCAAGCTAGACTCTGGAATTGCAAAAATCTGAAGGCTATACCTGAAATGACCTACTAGTAGATTATTAGTAGAGGCAACAACTGAAATTTTGCAGTTAGTGCACCTCTTGAGTCAAAGAGTTTTTAGAAATGCGTTAATTCAGTGCCTAGTCGTTTAAAATATTAAAGTCATTTATATGGCTGTTTCAATTTAAATAAAAAGAATCAAAATGATTGCGCAACTTGGCTCTGAAAAAAGGCGTTTGCGTTATTAATAGCTACTGCATTTTGCACGAAAAGTTGAATTTTTCACGTTGATTAATAAGTGAAACAATGTTAGGCTGCAATTTTTCAAAATCACCTGAATTTGTTTATAGTATAAAATATAACTGCCATTAATTAATCAATCTTGCGGAATATTTGAGTCAGTAAATGTATGTATTTACAGAGTTAAAACTGCATAGCATGTTGGTGAAGCAAAATATACTCTTGGTTGATTAATTGGACTTTAGTCGATTTTAACTAATTTTTCACAAGAGTATGACATTCATTTGCCAAAAATTTCACGTTTCATTGTTCAGAATATTTTATAAACCAGAAAATTCAAATTTGAAACTAAACATCGTGCTTTAGCAATTTTATTTAAGCATTCTGCTAGCATGATTTTCACTAGCCATACTTGATTTCTCTAAAATACCTGATAATAATTGAAAAAACGTTATTGTGTCAAGAATTAAGTCTATTTAATTGACTAATTACTTGTAAAATCATTGTTGCTCGCTTTTAGGGATGTACATTTGCAATGATTGCTATTTTTTAAAAAAGCCCAAATTTTTAAGTTTTATTAGGAATTGAACCAGGCTCTTTTAAAAAAGAACCTTTTTTGGCACAATTGTTAATTTGGAATCACTTGTATCATTTTGCACGATTCACTATATATACTTATGGGAATCAACTAAAAAGGGTTTAACCATGAACAAAATTGAAATTTTTGGCAGTATTTGAGAACCAAATGTAAGTTGCCCAGGCTTGGAAGATTTCTGGTGTCTGTGTCGGCAGGCCGGCTTTGATCTTCCTTAACTCCGCTCCACTCTACTCCACTCCGATTCTTCCCACCTTGCCCCATCCTCCTCCGCCCCAACGGAACGGGCGTGCGTTAGCTTTACGTTGACGCCGATTAGCTGTTCACTTGGTATGTGTGTGTTTGTGTAAACGCACATAAACTCAACAGGGAACTCCAAAGGATCACGCGGTATCAATCAGATGATATC